GTTAAAGACATTAATAGAAAGAAAGACCATACCAAGAAATGCAAAATTGCAAAATTTGGAATTAATCTGTTCAATAGCATGATTTCTTTCTTTCTATCRAAGTCATTAGTTAACACCATGGGGGTTTTATTTACAGAGTCTCCTATGKTCTATACTCATTGACRTGATTGCTCCAACAGGTTTTTGTGGCTCAATAAACTCACTCCATGGCGATGCCCTCAATCAGAAAGTTMGACAAGYAGCAACAGAACTTATTGAATTATTATTTAACATTGAAAATCCCGAGTCTGCACAGCAATCTTTTATCATGGCAGGACCAACAGGAAAAAAGATGGATGGGTTTGGAAATGCTCCAATCCAAACTWCAAAAAGCACAACAYTRTTKGACTCAGTTAAAGGMTTRCGCAGTCATATTACAACATTTTCTGGATATTTACAACCCAAACAGGGACTTGTGTYTTCAGGATTTAATGGAGAAACGTCATCAACGTCATCATCCAATGCTGAACCTACGTCTACTGTTAAATTTGTTAATTATGATACATGGACAGAAGGAACTACAGATGAAAGGTTAACTAGAAATATTGTGAGGTAATAATTACCTTAATATTGTATAATAGATTAATATTAGATTAATAGATTAATATTGTAAATATTTTCAGTATTAATTGTATTAGTGCTCAATGTTCAAAACTTAAAGTTTAAAATATGTGAGGGAGACTTTTATGGGCTGCCATTTAAAACTGAGCTGCAAGTGAGCAGTTTTAAAGCCAATAAAGGTCAAATTTGAATATTTTAGATATTGTTCATAAAATAAAACAAACTGTGCTACAAAATTCAAGATGAAGCCAATAAAGTTCAAACTTGAATATTTTAAATATTGCTCATAAAATAAAACAAACTGTACTACAAAATTCAAGATAAAGTAAGAGAAAATCGAAGTTTAAGTCATAGRCAAATCAGGACAAATCTCTTKCTCATATATAGAGACGCATGGCAATGATTTTCCATTGTGTTTACCTTATGAATTATAAATTAATTTGATRATACTCACAAATCACTAACACTCTCATTTTTGCAGCAGTCCAGTTGATGATGACTTCAGCACATCTGAGGAAATTAAGSAGGAGGAGGATGGRAAACTAGAAAGTCAGCTGGTTGATAAAATTACTGAAGAAGGAGGGATACGAACTGTTCCATCAAAACGTTCCTTGGATGAGTTCAGTCAAAAGTAAGTGCCATTATCTCCATGAWMAAGGCAAAGAAAAGTGTGGCATCTACGGATAAACCGTGCAAGTCCATTGCTTAYTAGTGTTATAGGGGGAAGGGGGGTGCAGTATCAGCTTAAAAGCATATACTTT